TCCGAAAATAAAGTTGTTCGGTGCAAAACGCCATGAGGAAACGGGTGAATGGAGAAAACCCCATAACGTAGAAGTACACTGACTGTAAAACAAAAACGGACATCATCAACGTCGTAAAATCACGCTGATTAAGATGGGCAGGTCACGTGGCGCGCATCGGGGGTGGATCGAACGGCGCGTAAAATACTGATCGGTATACCAACAGGAAAAGACCACTGGGTAGACCAAGACGTACCTAAATGGGAGGGCAATATTATTTCGGGATCTTAAAGAAATGGGCTACGAAGACCGCGAATGAGGAGGGGGTCCGCGCTCAGGGACGAGAACACTGGCTGCGATTTGATATTTACGGCAATGAACTTCCGTGTTCCTAATGTTGTTGACTATATTAACTTGATTGTATTTGTTATTTCAGATTACGCGGAGTTTGTGTTCCTTGCCCTGTTCATGATGGAAATGTTCATAAAGGTATACGCGCTCGGTCCTCGCACATATTTCGAGTCGAGCTTCAATCGCTTCGACTGCGTCGTCATCTCGGGCTCGATCTTCGAGGTGATCTGGTCCGCGGTGAAGTCCGGCTCTTTCGGCCTCTCCGTCCTACGTGCCCTTAGACTCCTCAGAATTTTTAAGGTCACCAAATACTGGAAGAGCCTGCGGAACCTCGTAATATCGCTCCTCAGCTCGATGCGTAGTATCATTTCCCTTCTCTTCCTGCTCTTCCTTTTCATCCTCATATTCGCGCTGCTCGGAATGCAGCTCTTCGGTGGCCAATTCAACTTCGATTCCGGCACGCCACCCACAAACTTCAATACTTTTCCCATCGCGCTGCTTACTGTCTTCCAAGTGAGTTTTATTGTCCATGTTTTTCTTCTTGTTACTCGTAAGACTCAAAGATATTTAATGTTACATGAATTAATTGAATATTTATTTGAACAGATCCTTACTGGAGAAGACTGGAATGAGGTGATGTACTATGGTATCGAGTCACAGGGCGGTCACAGAAAAGGTATGATGTATTCGCTCTATTTCATCGTGTTGGTGCTATTCGGCAACTACACTCTGCTGAACGTCTTCTTGGCTATCGCCGTCGATAATTTGGCTAATGCCCAAGAATTGAGCGCCGCCGAGGAAGAGGAGCAGGAAGAAGACAAGGAGAAACAAATGCAGGAAATCGATAAGGAAATCGAGACATTGCAAAAACCAAACGATGGTACAGCATCTAAGACAGAAATCTGTCCTCCTAGTCCGAATCAGAATTTGTGAGTTTAATTAGAATAATTAATATATTAATGTAAATAAAAGATATATAACGTAATGAATTAACATTCGGAATTTTTATGGATTTTTAGTAAAGACGGTAAAGGTGGAAAACAGGCGTCCGAAGAGAAGAAGCAGGATGAAGACGATGACACGGGACCAAAACCAATGCTGCCATACTCCTCCATGTTTATACTATCCCCTACGAATCCGTGAGTATTGAGATCCTTATATGTGCCCATAATTATGAAAGTGGTCTAAGTCATATATCTCTTGTTTCGAGATATTTAAAGATTTATACTTGAACACTATATGAATTCTACACAATATTGAAATAACAAACATTATCTAACGATTCATTTTTGATAATATCGTGAAAATTACATTGAATTTATTTAGTTTATAATAATGTTGTGTGTAATAACTGATAAACTCCTTTTTTATTAATTTTGACTTAGACCACTTTCATTATTATGGGCACATATATAAAATGCTTTAAATTTCTTTTTTTTTTTACATTTTTGTCTCCTAAAAAATCTAATCCTTTAACCAAGATAATGCAAATTAAAATGTAAGATCTATATAAATGGAAATGTTGATGTATTTCAGCTCAATCTAATTGTAAGTGTCATGTTGATATATTTCAAAATAATTTGTGAATATCACATTATACTTTTATGGTCACAAATTATCATCCTTGTAGGTTGAATAAAATCACCCTTATTAGAAAATTTAAGTTTTAGCATAATTTGTAAATTATAAACAGTAGATAATAAGGAATAAGGGTATGATTTATATTAGTGCAATTTTAATTATTAAAGATATAAATAGCAAAGTATTTAAAAAAGAACTGGAAGATCAATAATTTGAGGTTAGGAACAATAAGAAACTTTTTGCAAGGAAACCACAACACTGAATACATAGAATACTTAAAAACAAATCCCATTCTTATAATGGGTCAGTCAGTCAAAGTCAGAGTTAGATACAAAATCAGAAACAGAGTCAGTCAGTCAATTAGAGTAAGAGACAGTCAGTCAATTAGAGTAAGAGTCAGTCAGTTAGAGTCAGAATCAGAAACAGAGTCAGTTCGTTAATTGGAGTAAGAGTCAGTCAGTCAAAATTAGAGTCATAGCCAGAGTCAGTCAGTCAGAGCCAGAGTCAGAGTCAGTACGTCAGTTTCAGTCAGATTCAGAATCAGTAAGTTAGAGTGAGAGTCTGAGTAAACATGTAGCGTATGCTAATTCTATATAATATATATTGAAATTAATTGTGATTATTTGTTTGAATTAGCGTAAGAAGAGCCGCCCATTGGGTCGTCAATCTAAGGTACTTCGACTTCTTCATCATGGTGGTAATATCGTTGTCGAGTATCGCGTTGGCCGCCGAGGATCCTGTATGGGAACATTCGCCGAGGAACGAGATCCTCAACTACTTCGACTACGCGTTCACCGGTGTCTTCACCATAGAGATGATCCTAAAGATCATCGATCTTGGGGTCATATTACATCCTGGCTCGTATCTACGCGAGTTTTGGAACATTATGGACGCGGTGGTCGTAATATGCGCCGCGGTGTCGTTCGCATTCGACATGACCGGTAGTTCAGCGGGACAAAATTTATCGACGATCAAGTCGTTGAGGGTGTTACGTGTCTTGAGACCGCTTAAAACGATTAAAAGAGTACCAAAGCTCAAGGCGGTCTTTGACTGCGTCGTTAACAGTTTGAAAAATGTCATTAACATTCTCATAGTGTATATATTATTCCAATTCATCTTCGCTGTGATCGCGGTGCAACTGTTTAACGGAAAATTCTTTCACTGCAGCGACGAGAGCAAGTATACGAAAAAGGACTGCCAGTGAGTAGTAACATTTTCAATCCAAAATCTTTCTTTTTAATTATCCAAGGATGTAAAGTGTCCAAAGACACGGAAGAAGACGAATCTAACCGATGTAAATGTATAGTTTTACAATTGGATTAAATAATAACGCGTTGCTATTTTTCACAGGGGTCAATACTTCGTCTACGAGGAAAATGTAATGCTGCCAGAACCCAAGAAAAGGGAGTGGACGTCTCAGTGTTTTCATTACGACAACGTTATGGCAGCAATGCTTACGTTGTTCGCTGTACAAACTGGCGAGGGATGGCCACAAATCTTGCAGCACTCAATGGCGGCCACTTACGAGGACAAGGGTCCCATTCAAAACTTTCGCATCGAAATGTCCATTTTCTATATCGTCTATTTCATCGTCTTTCCATTTTTCTTCGTCAACATCTTCGTGGCCTTGATTATCATCACGTTTCAAGAGCAGGGAGAAGCCGAGCTTCAGGATGGCGAGATCGATAAAAATCAGGTATTTTAATTGAATTAATCTATCTTAGAAATAAATTCGTGTTAATTAACGTTCATTGAATTATTATTTATTTGTTATTTCAGAAATCATGTATAGACTTTACGATACAAGCTCGCCCACTCGAGAGGTACATGCCGAAGAAGCTTAACGGCGTAAAGTACAAAATTTGGAGGATAGTCGTATCGACACCGTTCGAATATTTTATCATGATACTCATCGTACTAAATACATTACTACTAATGATGAAGGTAAGTTCTTACGAACCGTATCTATATTTCCCCGTTGCATTTGATTCTCTCGACGAGGAAGCAAAAGAGAGAAGATCGATGTGTCTCTCTTTGCTCCAAATACCTCACCAACCCTTCTGCTCCACCCCCTATTTTATCTATTAGAAATAACCAAAGTCAACAATTCAAACAAATAATACATATTTATGAATATAAATCTGAAAAAAGACAACGCCAGCCCACTCACAAGCCCCTTACCCTTCACTAACACCTGTAAATCTTCCTTGTTCGTATGTTGTGTGCCCATTAATATTTACAGTGGGTGTTGAAAGTATTCGTATACCGATCAATTTGAAATAAAATGTTGTGAAATTGTAATTTATTAACTAATTTTTTTATAAACAATGAATTTGTACATATTCTTGAAAGTTTCTACAATTTGCAAAAGAGTTTATATATGAAACATAATGTAAACACATCACGTGACTGCTTTTTAGTTATAATTGACCTCGTCAGTATGTTTGTAAGCGTTATCAGTATCAGTTGAACTTAAAATATTTTAACATTGAAAATTATTGTTGGAAAATGGGACGAAAACGTGTTAAGAAAAATTATTATTAACCTTTTGCACACTCAAGGCCTTTTTCAATTGTGCTAACCAGCAACTCGAGACGATTTCAGCCAAATTAGGGAAACATTTTACATATAAGTGTAATAAAATTTCACCAATTTATTTAYTTTTATATCAAAAACAACAAAATTTGAGAAATATTATACTGTGTAATTAGTTTTTTGTATAATATTTCGTAAAACAATACCCAAGATGCATCTCCTAGGCACGTATCACAATAATATGTTTCTTCCTGCCTACCTTCAGACGTATTACGATCAGAGCAAACCTTACAGTCCCTTTTCGTATTATCTTTAAGTATATCTTAAAAAAAATATTTTATCAAACATCGTAAATAAGCAGATAGAGTAACAAAAGACTTCAAATCAGTCGGGCGCCGTATCAGCGCTGCTCGAGTTGCCACTTAAATCTGCCGAGTGCAAMGGGTTAATTTACATAATCAATGTAAAACTTTATTAGAAATATCGCGAATTAAAAAACAGACCTCGATTTACTATACAAAGTATCATTGATAGGTATGGATTAAGAAAGAAACTGCAAAATAACTCAAGAAATGGACGTTCACGAAAAATTAATCAGAACACTGGACGAGTTATCACAAGAATGATAAAACAGAATCCAAAGACAAGTGCTATAAAAATAGTCAAACATCTTAAAAATAATTGAAATATTGATATATCTGCTAATACTGTACGTAATTTTTTGTAAAATGAAGGGTATCATGGTCATGCCAACACCAGTTGCACTCATGCAGTCCCAAACAAGTACAGAATCTCCACCGTGTTTCACTGTGGATCGCAAGTTTTCTGATTTCAGTTCTTCATTTTGTTTCCTTCATACAGTGCAGTATCCATCTGATCCAAAAATATGAAATTTACTCTCGTCTGTAAAAATAACTCGATTCCAGTACTCCATTGGTCTTTTAATGTTATTATTTACTAATTGCAATCTTTTCTTTCTATTCATTTCATTTACGAAAAACTTTTTACACGACCATGATTTTTATTTCATTATATCTATTGTAGAAACTCTCAAGAATATGTACAAATTCATTGTTTATACAAAATTAGTTAATTTCACAAGATTTTATTTCAAATTGATCGGTGTACGAATACTTTCTACACCCACTGTATATATATTTTCAATCCTCTTCGGGATTATCCGTTCCTCGTAGCATTTTAAAACATGTTGATTATTTTTAATTAACGGATAATAATAGAATTTTTTTACATTAACTTCTCTAATCATTTCTTCTTCTTTTTTTTTTGATCTACAACGAATAATATCACCGTGTATAATATTCGAATAATTCGAATGACAATAAGCGTACGTAAATTGCTACGATTATATGTTATAATAATACATATTATGAATATATTATTTGTTATTATACAATAATGACATTACATTTTTTTTTCTACGAGGACATTGTTGTTCTTGCTTGCTAATTTTCTGACTGTTTTTTCTGTATAATTGTCATATCCATGTATTTTAACAAATTGCGTGTACACAGCTGTGTCGAATTTTCTTACTTCCTACGAATTATTTTTTTTTTTATTCTTTCACTCTGTATTTCTATCTTTCTATCTCTCTCTCTCTCTCTCTCTCTCATCCAATTTCCCCAATCAAAATAAATTCAATCGTCTCCTTTCCTCTCTTACCTTCAAACTTTCTAATGATTTAATACTTCACAAATTATTTTCTTCATTCATTTCCCTATTCGCGAGTTTAACGATCATCTTTCTTTATTGTTGAATTAACGTGACAATAAAGTTTCTTTATTTCTTTCTCATTTTCTCTCTCGCTCTCTCTCTCTCTCTCTCTCTCTCTCTATCTATCTATCTCTCTTTCTCTTTCTCTCTCTGTCTTTAAGTTCTTCCTGTTTTTCTCATATCCTAATCTCCTCGACAAATTGCATGGCTGGTGGCTGTAAATTTGTTTCATAGTTAGACATACTCCAATGACGTGTGAGAAACTTTGAACATCGCTGTGTTCCTTATTATCAAAATCACACATATACTTTTTTAATTATTATACTAATTAAAATTAATTATTATTTATATTATCGATTGTATACATACACCTAATGTACGTTCGACATTATTTTTTGTTTTTTATTTTTAACGCTTTGATAATACGCCCACATTTACCGGTGGCGGAACGAAACATAAAAAAGCGTTGCACAAAACGAGCTGCTTATTTTCTTTCTGATCGAATGAAAAGTTTTCTTTAAAAAGAAAATACTTGAAAAAGAGAAAACTAATATTTAAATAGAAAAAAAAAAAAAATTATAAGAAACTGGCAACATAGAGAAGAGCCCTGCACGCCAGTCCACCTTTTGTGTAGAGTGCACATTTATTATTTATATTTCTTGACTCTCACACGCTTCTATTTTTTTAATATTAAACGCTAATTTTCTAATTTTCTATTTCCTCAACGTCCCCCTCCTCCTCCTGCCCTCCTACTCCTCTWTCTAATTATCTATTCATCTTTATATTATATTCCTATATATATATGAATATAATTGGGGCATATATATGGGGCAAACGAAACGAAATTTTTTATAGAATTTAACTTGAAATGTTTTTTAAATTTTTTTTTTCAAAAAGTACACTTAAAAACCAAAAATTTAAAATAAAAAACATCCCGATATGTTTATTTTTGATAAAGTTAATGCTATTTGAAAAAACATTGAGTAGAACGAAAATTTGGAATTTTGGAAAAATTCGTATCTCTTTTTGGGTTGGTCAAAAAAATCTGAAAAAATTCTCAAAATGTTTTTGAACGAAATTAAAAATGATTAAAAATTTTCAGCAAAATCGAAAGGAGTCGTGAGGTCAAAAGTGGTTGATTTCACGCGATGTATGCCCC